CTGTGGACTTAGTCATCATCTCAGACACCTCTGGACCTTGCTATATTCCTTAGGACTATAACACTGAATGCCTGGGCTATAAATGTAAGGATCAGGGGAACCAGTGGTGGCCACAGGTTACTGTCTGGGACCATCACTCACTGTGTGCTAAGCGATGCCATATGTCTATCTTTTTCTGTGATCTATCCTCACTCTGTCATTGAGTGCAACCTCTAGAGACACCAGAACTCTCATTCAGTGTCTCACATCTGAGAGAGTACTGGGGACATGGTGATGCCTGAAGGCTGTCAATCCAGGGCTGACTACAGTCCAGCCTCCTATGACTCCCAGGGTCCATAGCAAGCAGAGGATGTTGGACTGCCACCTGCTTTTCCCCACTCAGTTCAGGTGCTAGGTAGGTTTCTCTGCCCTGTGTGAGTAGGACAGTTGGTCTCAGGACCAGCTGAGAAAGGCAGATCTTGGATTGTGCTAACCCAATAGGTAGGGCTTGTAGCTATTCACCATGTAGCTGGGAGCACCCAGGGTCAGGAAGGGCCAGTGCTTAGCTGGACAACTGGTAAGAGGAACATGAGGTTAGGGTAAGTAGAAAAGTGAACAGTGATGTAGCTAAAGGTCTAGGGCCCTCAAGGGTGAGGTTTGTAACCAGCTCTGGGCATGCCTAGTTATACAAGTCACTGCTGAGATTGCAACTATGACAATCAGTGACATATGAGTCACAGACATTTGGGACTAGAGAACCATGAGACATGGCCAGTCATAAATCTTTGGCTCTTGGGCCCTCTGGCTGGCCAACCCAACAAAGACTGACATTGGAAATCCATCATGACCTGTACTTCATGAACCCAAAAAGGCTTATTGGTCCTTCATGTGGCCCCATAGTCAGGTCTAGTGCAGATCTGGCAGCTATTCCAGAACTTTTTCCAATCACCCTGCCTTCCACTCAATCCCAGAGTGGTTTGGGAGCAGCTAAGAAGAGCTCTATTCCAAAGGTCCCAGCCTTGGGGTCAGGCCCTACAGTAGCCATCCTATAATGTTATGTGGTGTGGACATGCACTTCCAATATTTGTCATACCTCCTCTGTAATTCTCGGGCAACTGTGGCAATGGCATTGAAGCTAAGAGCTAGAGACACCGAGAACCGTGCAGCAATGGTCTCATTCAGTGGTCACCTGGAAGTGTCAGCCTGCAGTGTCCCTCTGTTTCCAGCATGCACATGAAGACCCTTGTCAGAATGACAGTCTCCTCCATGGAGGAATTCACAACACCTGCCTCCTCCAAGCTCTGTCCAGAGATCTTTTGGCATCTCCTTATTGTATTTGAGGCCTCCTCAAGGCCCGGAATGGGAGGTGAAATTCACAGTGCCTGTTTCGGTGTTTTGGTGGTTAGGTATTCCAAAAGATTCCAGTGCTGGGTGATAAAGAAGCTACTGCAGGAAGAAATGTGCATAATGTGTACTCACTGAATCTGCAGTGGATAAGCCCACAGGAAGAATTAGTGAAGACATGTAGAAGCCTGTGAAATACACAAGAGAAATCCATGCACTCAGCAGCTGAGACAAGGAAGTTCAGCCTGGGCTATGGATAGCAAGACCCTGTTGCAAGAAACAAATGAAGGAAGAGGGAAGGAGGACTCACCTGTATCTAATGTGATATGAATAAAAGTGGATGATGGTGGATTGTTGAGCTACAGTAACTATGCTGGGGAGACACAGATGCAATAAGAAACACAAGACTTAGTGATAGACATCTACAAAGGATCAGCTTACCCAGTGTTTGGCAAATTACCACTAACATCAACCACCAAAAAAAGTGGAAAGGGAACCAAACAAAATGCTGCTTTGCTCCTTGTCAACTGGTGTCCAATGCACCATGTGGACTCGCACTTCATTAAAAAGAAAGAAGTTCTGAAAACTCAGTACCAAGAATGGGGCATTTCATTCCATGGCTCTGAGGAGCCAGACATCAACACAGAATGGCAGGCATACTGGTTAAACATAGAGCACTTTACTCTGCTAATGCAGATCCCTTCTTCCCTTCCCACAGTGGCTCAGTAATCAGGAGGGTTAAATCTTACACATCATCTGGGTCTTTCCCTCTGATGTTTGGGTTTGTATATTTCCTACTCCTTCATTTTTAAGATTTACTTAATGTACTTAAGTGTCTGTCTGCATGTATGTCTATACAACATGTGTGTGAAGTGCCCATGAAGGCCAAAAGAGGTTATCAAGTAACTTGGAATTGGAGTTAAAGATGGTTGTCAGTTGCTAGGGTGCTAGGAACCAAACCTTGGTTCTCTAGAAGAACAGGCAGTGCTCTTAGCCACTGAGCAACTCTTCCAGTCTGTTTGTATATTTCTTTTGCTTTTTTATTTGTTCTTGGAGAGTTTCATACAATGTGTTTTGATCATATTCATGTTTTGAAAACATGGATGGATTCGTCTGTTTTATATACTATTTTTAATCAATTCTTAAACTAAAGATTTTAATTTTTATTCATCTATTAAGTTAGTGGATTTCATTGGAGTATTTTCTTGCCTGTGTACCATTATACTTCAGCACAATAATGCTTATAGATAGCAGATCTGTGGCCAATATTACATTGAGACAACTAAGAGCAAGGAACAAGGGTCTCTGCTTGTATGTGACAATTGGCTACAACTATATATTAGTTACAAGGCCCTCCAGCAGAGTGTGTTTCCGTGCCTAGCATGTCCAGTGGCAACTGTCCTAAATTGTGCTGTGTAGGAGTGGTAGGGGCAGGGCCCTACCAGCATGAGGTTAAGACCATAACAACCAGCCTCAAGAAGATCTGGTCTGGGCAATCTTCTACAGTTGGAGCCAGCCCTGCTGACCTGCCCTCAAATGCTAGCCCCAGAACCATGGAGCTGCTGTTGTATGGGTTATCCATTTACAGCCACTGTGCATGGCAGACTCAGGCAAATGCAGAAATAGGAACTCAGCATGGAACAGCCAGCAGGGATAGCCTGCTGGGTAGGTTTGAGACTGCCTGTGAACTATGTCCTAGCAGGTCCATGCTCAAGGACAACTCCACTACCACTGAGTGATCTGGCCTAGTGAACCCTGCTCTGTGACCCTGACACTTGGGGACATAGTCTGGGAGGGAGCAGACAACCAAAAGCTTCGGTGTTTCTGAAAAGGGCTGTTACAGCCAGCCATGTTCTAACAGGCAGAAGGCTGTGGGTGCAGGGAGAGAGCACACAGGGCTAAGCATGCCTTCTTGGTACCTTACCATGAAGAATCTTCATGGTGCTGGGAGCAGGGGAGGGGTTCACAGTGGAATAAGATGAGCAAGAATAGACACCAGTGAGAAGGTGTGTGTGTGTGTCTGTGTCTGTGTAGGGGGCAGGGGATCTTGTCCTCCAGCACAGATGGAGTAATACTAAGATCCTCTTATCATTCCACAGAGACTATTGCTACAGAACACCACAGAACAGAGACTATTGCTACAGAACACTACAGAACAGTGGTAGGGGAGCAGCTCCCAGAACACATATAGAAAGAGTGGATTTTTGATAATTCAACAATATATTTTTCTTCCAAGGAAATGTCACCAAATAACAAATGTGTGTGGTTCCAGCTGTTGGTTTTCCTGTGTTTGCAGACAGATCATCCTATCATATCTAACAATCACCTTCCAAAATGTGCTGCAAACACAGACCACAGACCCATCCCAGCTCAGTAAGACAGTAGGGGGAGGGAGTGAACATCCCCAAAGCCCACACCAAGCCTGCTAAGCCACAGAAGCAGGCAGGATGCTGTGGTCTTAATCAACCTCTGATAACTATGGGGTGGATGCTGTGGGAGCTGTTCTTAACACATACTGCCGAGTGATATTGATAAGAGAAATATGAACTTTTCAGATGCGATTTCCTCCACGTGCTTGGTAAGTACACGAAGATAACAGTGGACTGACTACACCTATAAACTTGCCTGGCCGATGGAATGTGGCTGCCACCAACAACATGTGGTCTCCCTGAAGGCCCTACCATGGCATGTGTCCTGGAGAGGCCACACAGCAGCTGGACCCCACTCTATCTATATATACCATAGGGGTTTGTCCATGTTGGAAGGATCCCATATTCTGCCATTAGTGCTAAGACACTTCTTAACGGTGACAGAACTGGAGATGTTAGTGGGGGAGTGGTTAGCTTGAGAGCTGGCAGCCCCAACAAGGAAAGCCCATTATCCATTCTAATACAACAGAAACCATCCTTGATGACAAGCAGAGAAAGCAGACTTATTCCACATTGATGGACACAATGATGGAGGAATCAGCGGTCCAGAGATTCCAAGTCTGTAGGACACTGAAGAGGTTTAGGCAGAGGGTAGGAGGTATATGTAACTAAACAGTCTTGGTCAAGGTGTAGTCCTGCCCATTGTTGGGCCATCCTCATTTCAGCTAGTTTCCCTGCAAGGTGATCTGCTAAGTTGTCGGAGTTGTATGAGTGCTCTTCCTGGGGGACAAGCAAGCCTCCCCCATGGCTGACACTAACCTTCCACCTTTCCCTTGTCACCAGAGGACTCCTGAAGATGTTTTATTGTCTGATTGCTGAAAGATGGGGGAAGGGTTTATCTCCTATACTCCCAGAGCTATTAAAGGGTTGAGAGATGAAATGCCTGCCTCCTGTGCCAGTGTGGGGCATATGCTAAGTATGCAGATGTGCGCCATGCAATCTTAAAAGGACATAGACCAGCTCTGGCCAGCACAGGATGGAGAATGTACAGAGTTTTCTCTGAGTCCCCAGCAGAGGGCAGCCTCTCTTGGAGCACACACAGGGTAGTGCTTCTAGAGGCATAATCTTATGCAGAGTGCTCCCCCTTGCCCCACTCCATCATCCAGGTCTTCAGTCTTAGTCTCCAGAAAATTGTTAACTTGACCACAGTGGGCAAGCGGGAAGGTCTGTGTGTCAGGGACTGTGTCAGGAACATGATTCTGAGTGGTTTCAGTATGAGGCTGACTGCTCTGTGTCTTTGCTCTTCAGGTCTCCTGACAATCGCAGCCCCTGTGGTGCCCCTGGGAGTGGCCGTGGCTCTCTGGAGATTCTACACCTCAGCCACAGTCCTCCACCCTGTGTGGACACCGCCTGTACTCCACCTACCCAGTTTCCCAGAGGCCTAACCAGGACAGCCCAGTTCCTCGGAGCTCTGAGCTCAAGTCTGTCCAGCCGAACCCAGGAGGCCAGGACTCAGACACACAGGTTGGGGGTAGTGACAGGAATCAGCAATACCTGGTGTGTGGAGCCTGGTTGCACCCACTCTCGCCAGCCACTTGCTCCCTGGAGTTGGAGGACAAGAACAAGGAGGCTGTAGCCCAGCAAGCTGAGCCACAACACAAGGTCCAGGGACTGTCGGTGCGGAAGCCACCACTACCTGTGTCCCAGACTGTCTGAAACGCTTTTATTTTCTTATACTTTCAGTATACTCAATAGACCAAAGAGCAAATCTATTTTAACGTGGACACGTCCCTGCTGCCAAGAGTTCCCAGGTTTGATTGTGGGGCGGGGGAGGGCACAGTGGCAGACATGCTGGTGGCCCAGGCAGCATGGAGAGGGCATCCGCAGCCAAGACCCCCGCCCCACGAACACTGCAGCGTGCTCTAGGAGGATGGCTTTGCCCAGAAGGACACCACTGTGGTGCACCTGCAGGACCCAGCCGGGGTGTGGCCGGCAACGGCCCCCAGCGGACAGCAAGGGCCCCGGACACAGACCCTTTGCCCCTGTGCTTAGACCAACTCTATCGTACTAAAATCACTTTCTGTTTTAACCAGTTAGACATGCCTCTTCCACAGCTCCATTTTTGATAGTTGGATAATCCACCATTTGCCAAGAGCATGCTGGGTCTCCCGTGACTGCTATCTCATCTGATACACCATTTAGCTCCAGAAAGCAAAATTAAAGAAAACGGAAGTAACCCTGTTTGAAAGAGATCATTAAATGTATTTTGCAAAAGCCTAAAGTTATATATTTAACAGTTTTTATATGTTGTATATTTGTAGAAAATCCTATTTAACATTTGACGGCAGGTCTGACCATCACGAGAGTTGTGTCCAGGCTCTCTGTGATCCTGGAGATTCTGGGGTTGGCCATGGAGGACTTCAATGCAGGCATGGAGGGGCCAAGCTGTGGGTGAGGTGCAGATGACCTTGCCCAGACTAGGAAGCTCTGTCTCTCTTTGCTTTGCTTTGGTCTGGTGGCTCACGCCCCCGGTGAGTCTGTGTGTTGGTAAACATTGTGTGTACAATATTTTGGTCATGCCTCCTCTGATGGATTTTGGTCCCTTTCTCTCTTTTAACCCCCTTTGCCATCCATAGATCTTGAGTCCATGTTCGGCCAACTTGCCCTTCCTAAGTAAAGGTCCCCCTTCATTTACAGAGGTCCTGGGTCTCCATATCACGGGGTGAGACAGCAGGGCTGGAGGGGGTGGAGGAGCTGGGAAAGAGTCAACTTTCCTTGATTGCCCTATACTGTGGTGCCAGAGGCCAGGGGATAAGGGACAGACACAGTTCCCATTTGTTTTCCTGAGTTCTTCTAAAAGTATACTACCTACATGTCCAATTAACATGACTATCATGCTAGTAATATGCTACTAAAGAAAAGAATAAAAACAATGTATTTAACTCCAGTATATAGATGCCGTTCCAGCAACCATAGGCTAAAGATAGAAAAGAAAGCTCATTTCTGTGAGACCCATTCCAGTATCCACGTGTCCTCCATTCACTCATGTAGAGGGATGAGTGTCATGGGCAGAGAGATGAGGCTGAAATGGGGTTCTCCTCAAAGGAGGTTGTCAGGCAGTGCCACTGTCCCTACAGTGCCAGGCTCTGGTGCCCTGTGTTGCAGGGGTGAGCAGGGCAGGAAGTCTCATTTCACCTCTGAACCTCAGCATACATACCACCTTCCCTCAGCTGTTTCTTTTCAAAGCTAGCATAGACCCCTCCGAGGGCAGAGACCAGGACATTTAAGATGTTGCAGCATATTTTCCCCCTTGTTTTACAGTATCCAATTTTGTGTTGATTCAGCTAAATTATGAAAATAAAGAAAAAAAGTCCTTTGATAATCATGGCTTTTGTTCCCTGGCCGTGGTGTCCTGGGAGAGGGGAATAGTTTGTGTGGCTGGTGGGAACACAGGTGGGCACCATGTCCTGGGTCTTTTCTGATCACAGAACCTGAGACTGATAGTTACCAGCTCATCCTTGCAGTGCTATCTAGGAGTTGAGTGCCAAGAATTTCTTGGGCTTGTAGCAATGTGCTCTGAAGCCATCCCTGGGTTCAAAGGTTGTACCCCTGTTTCTATACTATATGATAGTCCTGCTCAGATGTGCTCCATACCCATCAGACAAACCCCTGATACCCCCCCCCCCGACACACACACACACACACACCTAGAGTGTTCCCTGCTCATTACTGACACATAATCATCTGCTTTACTTTTCCCCCATGGGACAGAGATATCCCAATTGGCCCAAGGGAAGATGGATGGCCATATGTGTCTATTTGTCTCCCAGTTCTTGTGAGTCATAATGGCCAAGACACAGAAGGGAGTCCTGCTCAAAGGTCCATGCACCCCAGAGGACTCCCTTTCCACAGAAATCTGCTGAAGCCTCCGAAGAGTAGTCCTTGGAGATGAGGTCTAGAATTGCCACCTAGTGCCATTTGTCAGCTCCTTTTGACAGATATCAGCCATGGATAACTGTAGCTATTGGGTGGGATATGGCTCTCTGATATCCATTGCTTTGTTCTAAAGAGATTCCCATCAGTCTTCAAAGCTGCAGAGTCGGGAATACAAAACTAGTTTGCCTTTAAGGATGTTGCTTGTGTTGGAGTTGAAAAGGTAGCACACAGCAGCTTGCATCAGCCTCAGGAGCCCCAAACCAAACCCTGTTCCTTCTCATGTGAAGTCTGGATGCCCGCATCAGAAAGAGTAAATCAAGGCTAGGGAACCCTCTGCCTCCTCCACAAAGGTATACTGTGGTAAGCTACCCTGGTCTATGGAAGCCAGAACATAGTATGAGACAGTGAGACCAACACCAGTGTCCCCTCCTCCATCCTCTAATGGCACTATTCCCAGGGAGATGTGTATTCACTCCAGATAGGGAGCTGGACTAAAGTAATACCACAAAAGTCCTACTTGAAATATTGATGAGTTTATTGGGGTTACAGGAGATGGGTGAGTGGTTACTGGCAAGGGCATTGTCAACTCAAAGGCAATTATATCACCCAAAACCCGCCCAGCATGGGTGACTACCCACAAAGAGGGAGCAGGAAGCTCCCTGCATGCCTTGCAACCAGCTGAAAATTTTCTTCTCAACATCTTTATGGCTTATACAACCTTCAGGAAGGAGGTTTTTGTGACTGGTACATTTAAGGAAATTTTTTAAGACTTGTGAGTTGCTTACTTCCTGCATCTTAAGGAGCTTCCCTCTGGATGGAATGTTTTAGTTATGATAAATTAGTATACACCATTACCCCTAAAAAGTCATCATAAGGAGAGATCCGGGAGTTTGGTGCAGAGAGGTAGATCAGCTCCCTTTCCAGCACAGTAGGGCCGGTTTGTGCTGTGTAACGAGCAGTTCTTTCTTCTAGAACTGGCCAAGAAGAGGATTCTTCTTTGGGTAAGGAGTCAATACAGGCTGGTGAAAATTATGCCATTCAGGAAGCTTCCTGGGCAAGCAAACTCCAAGTAGTCTGGTGTGGGCTGGAAGTCTATGCCTGGCTCAAAGACACTGAATTAGGTGTGTGCTCCTCCTGGGTAAGGACATGCTATACACAGGCCTTTGTTATCTCTGGGGAGAGAGCCAGCCTTTTTGCTGACACATGGGCTCTGTGGTCAGTCAGTAGCCTTTGTTTCCTCTCCCACCAGTGACATCACCATGGGTTTCTCTACTTCCCTTATGCCAATGCCCTACAGGCAGCTGCAGGTTAACGCAGCTCCTCCACATGTGAGCAAACACTTCTAGAAGGTTCTGAACATACACAGATGCCACATAACAAGAGAAGATTTGGAGATAAGCCTTAGCCTCTTCTCTCCCCTCTCCCCAGATGCAAGTCTACCCCAGGACAGCTCTGTCCCAATAATTGATGCTAGGCAATGTCAGAAGCCAATAGATGCCACGATCCCACTGGGCCTGGTCACCATGTTAGCCAATTCATGTGTCCAACGGGAAGGGTCCCTGCCAGGTAGACAGAAAGAAATGGAGTCATTGAGGTCTAGTATCATCTGGAAAGTCATGTTTCATCCCAGAACCTCAGTTTACCCATTAGAGGAATGGCAGGACTTTGGGGAGGCCTTCTGGACCAAGAGCATGCTTCAGTGTTGAGAACCACAGCCCAAGCACTGTATCACTTTCCTTCTCCCCTTTGGGGACTTTCTGAGCACCAGAGCCTGCCCCAAGTTTTGGCCTCTACCTTACCCAGGACAAAGGGCTCTGAGCTTTATCTCCAGTATCATGTTATAGGGATCAGTTGAGTTTCACCCTACTGTATGGCAGGTAGCCAGAGCATGTACTCACATGGTGGCATTCTTATACCAGGAAATGCCACACTGTGGATAAGCCTAGAGTTCCAGGACCCAGAGCCAGTGGGAATGGGATGATGGGAAGAAGGCAGGTGGACATGTGAGCATTGGTGGTGATGACAGTTGGTGATGCAGGTGCTTGGGGCTGGCATAGAATATGTGTCACAGTGTGTGCACATATATGTTCATTGTCATCATTACTGAAAATGTGGGATGCTTTCTGATCTGGAGTCCCAAAAGGATAACTTGTGTGTTTTCTGCCTCGTTGAACACCAAGACTGTGATCAGAGGTATCCCTTGTAGGTAGGGGATGCTGAAGTAAAATGACTTCAGGTAACAGCCACTGTCACCCGGGGGGGGGGGGAGAGAGAGTTTTGTCTCTCCCTGCAGTATCTGTGTCTTCACTGCTTACTGCTAGACACACGACATCTAAAGGGAAAGCACATGGAGACCATGTCCTGAGCTTGCCCCTCAGCTTGAAAAAAGGGTGGGCATATAAGTCTTGCTCCTCTTAAAACTGTCCCTAGCATGGAGAGACCCCAGATCTTGAGGGGAATAAAGGATTCCACTCAATGAGAAGACATAGGCTTTTGTACTTCAACAGGATCATTGATAGTCTCTACCCTCCTATCTGTTTGAGCTAATGCTGGATATTCCCCAGCAGGGCCAGCCAAGGGCTGATCAGCCACTGGGCAAGGCAAGTAGGAGGTAGGAGAGGGTAGATTGGGCTTTATGTGGAGTGACCATGCACACCATTTTTCAGGGAAGGGGGACCAGATTTGAGGGCCGTCTGTGTTGCTCCATAGAAATGTACCTTAGGACAGTGACCTGTTATTACCCTAACACATGTCCAGCCATTCCCATTCCCAGGTTCTGCTTCAGCTCCTGTCCTGTTTCCTCACCAAGCTCAACCTACACACCAATCAACTCTCCAGAAACATGTATGTGGGAAGGGGTACAGGATTTGGTCCCTCCTCACTCCTGACCAGGTACCTGCCATGGATACAGGACATTGCCCTAGACCCAATCACCTAGTGCACACGTCTTTGCTCAGCACTGACAATGGTCATCCCTCAAACCTGGGGCAACTATCACAGTTTCATCTCCTCAGATCTCCTGTGTGTTGGCTCCATTCATGAGGGCTCATCTCATTCCGTGGCCCCACGCACCTTCATCTAGAAGTCAACATCTCTGGGACATGCTGCATCTTAATATATTTCATTTCCTTGTTTGTGCCTGCAGTCATAGAATTACTCTGAAATAATAACCACATTTGTTTTCTGCTTTTAAGAATATCATTCGTTTATTCCCTCCACCAAGGCTTCAGGGAAGGAATTTGTCTCCGTCACTGGTCGTGGGTAGCCATTGGCCCCATGAAACTGGTGCGACCTTTGGTGTCTCAGCTGAAGCTCCTGTCTCCTTCCTTGGGCTTTTCTCTGAGA